AGTTAATCCTATCACCAAAGTTTATATTCAAAGGTATAAATTTCACCTTATTTGGAAAATGCAGTCAATTTTTTACCGTTAGATCAATACATACTTACGTAAGTAGTTAATCCTATCACCAAAGTTTACATTTAAAGGTTATATCACTATACACCAACTTAAATAGTTAATCAAATCACCAAAGTTTACATGTAAGATCGTTTGCTCCTAATTTAGATTATAGCTTTGTCCGCATAGAATTGTCAACCCATTCAAATAGTTTTCTACATCATTTTTCTTGTAGAGGTTACCAGAATTAAAATACATTTCTCACTAAGAACAAAGCATTCCTTGTACTTCATTTCTTATATATACAAAAGCATAGACATATTTCAAATGCCTCACACCTATTATGCAACACACATATATTCATTCATTCATTCCCTGCAAAATGCACAGTTCTGATTCAATTCGACTCATGAGTCAACCATATCCTCTCAAGATGTGTTAATCGAGATAAACACGCGTTTGTTAATGATCTTACTGTTTACACATTCAAGGAAATTTCAAAAACACAAAAAATGGTGAGCGTGTTTTTCCAACACATGGATTGTCAGTCAAAACAACTGGACTAAATTTGTCGACACGATTAGACAAAAAGAACCCTCATAGGTGGCAGAGCAAACATAGTAGTGTCCAAGTTTTCAAAAGATTTAAATGAGGGCCTGGACACCTTGCTGCTGAATTTCTCGAAGCTTCCATATGGAGTAAGGGGCTCCTTCCCCAACTTCTTCTGGATCCAACTGCTGCATAGCCCAAGCATAATACACAGTGTGGATCATGTCCTGCCAAAATCAAGCTCAAATTTCTAAGAATCTAAACCAACTGCAACTATAATATAATATATATTTTTTTCTAATTGACGTAAAAATAGACAGAACTCTGCTCTGAATTTTAATATTTACCTGACCACCTTCTGTTACTGAGCCAAGTTTATCACGAACACAATAAACTTGCTGCGTTTGGAACTGTTCAGAAATACACCCCCAAAGAAAAAGAAGATTGAAAATGCATCAGTTTGCGTGAATGCAGCTAAATAGTTCTGGACAGGTTATGAAAACCAAAAGGAAGGAAGAAAAAAAAAAATAGAATAAAAAGGGTTCTTACAGCCACAATAATTATGGGCGTCTCCCCCATCATTTTGGTCTCTCGAACTTCAACTTCTGATACATGTAATATCTGTACAGAGGACAACAATTTTGGTATAAAATACATAAATTTCAATCTCACATCATATGGCCACTGTATTCAACTTCCATCACCCCTGCTCAGAAGTATCCTCCACGGTTACCAGTCCCCATAGAACGCAAACAAGTTAATAAACTTAATAACATGTGATTCGTTGAAATTTTAACTCAATTTTTATTTTTTCAAGGTAAAGCAGGTGATCGAAAAACTGTACACTCAGGGATAAATGTTTTAATATACATGTTAAAAAACTAGCCAGCACTTAAGAAGTGCAAGATTTATGTCCATTTAGCTAGGCGTGCTTCTACAGTTTTGATTTCCTTAAAGTCATAATGGGAGACAACCTTTTCCCATCCAATAAAGTTTTAGGTGGCTATATTTGTTGCTAAACAGATATAACAAATGAAAGATGATTCATGTTGTCAAGTAAACCATATAAAAATAATATGAAAACAAATTACCAAGAAAATTTTAAACCACAACAAAATTTGAACAGTAATGTAATAGAGCATCCTCACTTTGTGATCAAAAAATATTCCCTGGCTTTTATAGGCTTTGTGCTCCGCTTTACACCGCTCAATTACATGAGAACTACAGTACTTCTGCAATACTTCAGTATCCCCCTGTACACAAAATGAAACATAAAGCCATCACCAGAGAGAATATAAATATTTGATGACAAAGGACAGCATCATACTATGCAAGAAATAAACTTAATATTCACAGAAATAGATGTCGTAATTTTGTTCATGGTTGAATTTAAATTTAAATGAAGGACAGAGTAAGAACGCATCAAATTAGTTCTACTGCGTAATGACCTTTAAAGCTTACTTTGAAATAAGCATTGAGAACTGGTTGGACAACTTCTTGAACCTCAGCAGCAAATTCAGGTAACGAGAAAGTTCTAGGACAATCAACATCCAATTTCAGAAATTAAAGACTAGTTAACAAAATAAAATGAAAACAAAGGTGTATTCTTACGGATCCCTGCGCCTTATTTCTTTAACTGACATGGCAGCATCTGATTCTCCTAGAACAGTTTCACTAATACTGAAATGAAGCAAGGTGAAAGTCAGTTAAATATGCATTTTGGTTGTTCCCAAACAGCCAATACAGTTATAAAAGTTGAAAAATAAAAAGATTAAAACTTACTCCTGAATTTTGTGAACAACTGGATGATCACTAGTCTCCCACCGTTCCCGCATATCTTCAGCAATCTGCAAACCAAGCATTAAGATTCCACAATTTGTAAACACGGACTGGTAGAAAAGTTGTGTTACATGGACAACCCATAAATGAAAATCAATAATGGCATCTTATTAGCTAGGACAAAATTTGTCAACAACAAGTTGTTGACAGATTAAACAGCTACACAATACTAAGTGAATAAAGAGTGCTATTAAACACACAACATTAAAAATAGTGCATTGACTGTACAATCATATCTTGAGATCTTGCCAAAGGCAACTGAGCATATGAAAAGCACTGATCAACTCTACCAGAAATTTACACAGAAAAGTGTAAATGGAACAGGAAGGTGGAATAGTCTAATATGGAATTTCAATTTGCTAAATACCTCCTGACTCTTTCCGATTACAGGCTCACTAATCCCACTGACGTGCTTGAATACAGGATGGCCTCGCATCTGGAAAAAAAAAATAAAAAAAATAAAAATAATATCACGTAAAGTGTGTCACTATAGTCCAGACCATATGAAAACCCATTTTAAGCAAGGCATGAATGCAAACCTTGTTCTTAAAGGCTTCCCATTTCTTGCTCCATTGAGACTGCTTTGAAGGTAACACGACAATGTCTGTCCGAGTACTTTTCTCGATATTTTGTCGTTGAGCAGTTTTAAAAGCATCATACTCAAGATGCTTCCTCCTGTTGGGGTTACCTTTCAGTTCATCCTTCACAATCTCATAACCCTTCTTCACCAAATCCACCGGTTTTGCTTCTTTTACTTTATGGAATGCCAATGAAACCTTTGGAGAAATGGAAGAAACGCCAGATTTGAACTTGTTGAATAGAGTTTCAGCATCACCTTGCTTTTCTTCACCAAAAGAAGACTTGCTTCCATCTTTGTTATTCGAGCTTTCGCTGTCTTGCTTTGCTGCCTCTTGATTTCCGATACCAAAGCTTCCTTTTACCTGAAAAAAATAAGAACTTAAGTAGTTTCAAGGCGTGTCTGCTATCAGATGTGATGAATAAATTCACAAACCTCCTCTTTAGCAGCAGATATTTTCTCTTCCACATCGGCATATACCTAACAAGAAAGAAGAGGACTCATCATCAATAGAAGCATGCAAATCTATAAAAAAAAAAAAAGCAGTATAACGTCACAATTAATCAGATCAATAAGCAAATGCAGAACCACAGGCAGAATTTAGATACCCTCTTTGCCTTTGCTTCAGCCTCATTCCAGACACCATCTACTTGCTTGTACAGCTGCTCGGTAGTCTGCTTCGTTCTGCATTTCGCCATTTCACGATCTCAGAGCTCCCAATGGAAGTGTCTGCCAGCCTTGACATACAACAGTATGTCTCAGCCTACATAATTAAACTAAAGCTCAAAACTTGAAGAATGTAAATTCAGAGCCACGCTACCTAACTTTCAAATCTTCTTTGACTCCTTTCAGTTCTTCGGCCTTCTCTTTGATTTCCTTAATGGATTTTTGAAAATCTTGATTCCTGCAGCCAAATAATCAGCAGCACATCATCTCAAGGTTTCAACTTTAAACTAAAAAGGAATACCAAAGTGTTGAAAAAACTGGAACCTTATCTTTTACAATTAAAACAACTTTTACAGGAGTAATACAAGATAAGTGTTTTTAAACCTCAGCTACGAAATCCAACTTAAATGGCTTCACCGAAAAACACCAATTCTAGGAAGAATACATTTTTACATTCATACTACATCTAACTCAACCTAATAGCACACTAAGCATATAAAAGTTAATACAAGGTAATTGGATTGGATAAACAAATGGCAACATAAGAAATAGAAAAACTCAGCTTCTGATTGGACGAAATTTCACCTTTCAACTTCCCCTTTAATCTTCTCAGATAACTCATCAAACATGCTGAACTGGCGCCTGGACAGATGCCCATTTGGCGGTAGCCTCGACCAATTACCTGATACCTAGAAAAAACAACAAAAATTTCACCAATTACGGGGATAGAGCAAGAAAAAAGAAAGCTCACACACCTGTTGAGATGTCAATAATTGGTGACGAAGGAGAACATGTTTGGACAGGAAGAGTAGTTTTCTACTGGCCATGTGAACCCTGCAACAGTTTTTATATCTCTCACCAAGATAATGTTAATACGGTAACGAATGACGAATTTGCTGGGTTAGGGTACTCAAGAGTTTGAACTGTGAAGTGATACGGAGAACGAAAGGAGTCGCCTTGCGCAAGGGGACAGCTCTTTCTTGTGCCCTAATGTAAATACCAAATATTTTTGGAATTGTGTGCAAAATACCTAAAATGAAAAACCAATAGTATTTTGTTTCTACTCGTATTTGTGAACACTATTTACTAATACCAACATATTTTAAATGATACTTTCATGTATGGCTTTATTATCTTTTGAAAAAAATGATTCCAAACATCCCTTAACGAAAATTTGCTTATTCTCCTTGTCTTTCTGCATCAGTCCAAACATCTTTTGGTTTCTCGGCTAAAACTTGAGAAATGACTCACTTCCCTTATATTCAGAAAGGACTTTTGGCATAAGTACTGGTGTGGACCAACCTGATTCAACAACTTGCCAGGTTCCTTTCCCTAGAGAACGTAAAAAGATTACTGTCATGAATTTCCAATATCCATAATTCGATCCATCAAGAAACTGAGGGTGCGAAACGGACATTCCATCGTGATTCATAGTGGACAAACACACCTTTCCAAAGATCTTTATCCCGTAAGTAGAACTGGAACACTGCTCTAGTGCCAATTGAAACGTATGTATTTTACGATGAGTGCGCCAAAGATATAAGAAGCCAAATAAGCAACGTAAATAGTGGAAGCAATAAACTGAAGATGTGAAAACTCTTCAGGGAAGCGTCTCACTTCCCCTCAAAGCTCTTTCATTGATAAACCGCTGCACACTTGTATAGTTTGGACTTACACGACTCGAAATCCCTTCTAGCCTAGCCACAACTACACACGATTCTACCAATTACTTCTCCGACCACATCCCGTGGACTTTCTAAACAACACTTAATCCCTAAGTGTTAAACACGAAAAGTCTGAGTAAAACAAAGGAAAAAGAAAATAATGCAGCTTCAGTTCTTCGATGGTAAGAACACCGAACTAAAAAAACAAAACAAAGATCTCGAAACTCGAATATAGCTTGATGTATGAAAGCGTCAACAACCTTGATTCGATCTTCAAGTAGGGTTTATATACAACTCCCTTAGGCATGGAGTCATCTCCAATTTGTTTCCTTCTTTCACGATTCTTCTTGATATTCTTTTCATAAGTATTGTTGAAACATGGAAAGTAGATCTTCCTTGATTTTCTCTAAATCTCTTCCATGCAACCATGTGTGTTTCCGCTTTCTCCATCCATCATGCAAACCGATTTCATACAAAATAATACCATAATAAGATCATGCAATCTCATATATATATATATATATAACATAAACCGAGTATTATGAAATAAATATAAATAAAAGAACTTCCTTTTTATATAATCCTTGTGCTTGTAGTAACACATTTTCAAATATTCTTATTTTTGAATCAATGCCAAAAATATATCATTCATTATTAATTTATTTATTTGGTAAATAACTCATTTGATTAGTTTTTTAGCCAAAAGTGTTAGTTTTGAAAAACCTTAATGTATGAGCATTGAGATAGATGATTCGTAGTGTAATATGTCAACATAAAATTCTTGAAATAGCCATATAATCCGCTATTTACCAAACAGTATTTACAAGAAGGTCATATAATGAGTTGGTCGAATTAGCAATCCATTAAATCTCTTAAAGTTATAATTAAAAAAAAAAAAAAAATGATGATGAATATACTCACATTGATTTATTTTCTAACAGGCCAACAAACAAGTCTAGATCATATATTTAGCCTTTTTATGATATTAAAAGTAAAGGAAAGTAGGAAACGGTAAGAATTAAGGCATTGGTAGGTACTAGGTAGGTTTTGATTGGGTCAAATATGCGTTTGAAGATTGAAGAAGTTTGAATGGTCATTGGTGGAAGGAAGACTATTGAAAAGTCGTATGACGTCCGTCCAATGCCTGTGGATATTAATTAATTCTGTATTTAAATTATGTTTTCCCTTCATATATACTTTATCTGATAATTATAAAAAAAAATTCACTTATGAGTATGTGTTTTCCATTATACCAAATTCCTTAATCATTTTGGGCAGAAATCCCCACTCCATATTCAATTATTAATCCATGAAAAATCTAATAATCCCAACACTAATTAAATATGCCCGTGAACATTTCATGTCTTGTGGTGATTGTTTGTCTCTTTAATGGAGTTTGTACCCCTTGCGTGTGTTGACAAGGGGGTGGTCCAGTTTTCTGGTTCCAGTGTGTCATTTGACACTTCGATTGTATTCTTGTGAGTTTTTAAGTTATTAATATAATTGTCGTTTGAAAAAAAAAAAGAACGTTTCATGTCTGATTTGGTTGACGCATCCGCACGGGAATCTTATTTTATTTCGCAGAGAAAATACGCACACGCACCTAAATAAATTTCAAATACACAAGTGGTTTTTTTTTTTTTATTTGGTTGGGTATAAAATACGCAAGTTGAATGTTGACGTTGATAGTCAGGTGGAGGACTGATGAAAACGTTGTGGTGGGCCGTTTATGGAGCATGTTTTTAGTAGGGTTTGGGCACCCACCTCCGTTTATGGGTTTGTACTTCTTTGTTAAGGACTCACAAGTGATGGTCATCTTAGAATAGAATATTCACTTGTGAGTTGTCCCATTTCATTTATATAGGGAAAATATGTCTAATTTATAAGTCTAATTGGTTACTCCTCCTTACACCAATTGGTTTTGGGATGGAACCTCACTTGGTCTTCATCTGGGTTTTTCCTGTCTTTGTGCGCTTCATTTGCATGGGACCTCAGTCGTTCTCCTAATGAACTCAATACAGATTAAATACCCAGCTTCATATGCATGGGACCTCAGTCGTTCTCCTTATGAACTCAACACAGATCAAATACCAAGATATCTCAACACAGATTAAATACCCAGCTTCATATACATGGGACCTCAGTCGTTCTCCTTATGAACTCAACACAGATCAAATACTCAATCTTGGTGCATTTCATCTGCAGGGAACCTCAGTCGTTCTCCAAATGAACTCAACACAGATCAAATATCCAGCTTCATATGCATGGGACCTCAGTCATTCTCCTTATGAACTCAACACAGATCAAATACCCAATCAAAAGTGGATGTAACTCCTTGTGAGCATCAAATTTTTGGAACTTAAACCAAAACACTCTTGCATTAACATGTACAAGCTAGTATATATGATTTTAGTAAGAAAGGAGATCCAACTTCATCCAAAGTCATCAGTCAACGCCTTAGTTTCCCACATTCGTCATCCATCCATCATAAATGAGTCATGACCATAATAATTTAATACAATATAACAACCTTCAATCTCCTCAAAGAAAGAGCACAAAAACAAACAAGAAGAAGAAGAAAATGGGGTTTTCTTCCACAAATCTATTACAACTTATATTATTATTCATCACACTTTCCTGTCCAAGTAATTTCTGCCCCGCCCAAGCTCAGCCCTTCCCCTGCCGCCCCGCCGGCGCCACCTGCCACGCCCTCATCGACTACGTCTCCCCCAACGCCACCACCCTCTCCGCCGTCGCCGCCCTCTTCTCCGCCCCCGACCACCGCCCGCTCCTCGGACCCAACAACCTCCCCCCCACCACCCCGCCCAACTTCCCCGTCGCCGCCCGCCATCCAATCACGATCCCCTTCCCCTGCTCCTGCACCGCCAACGGCACGGGAACGTCCGCCGGCCGCCCCGTCTACACGGTGGTCCCCGGCGACGGGCTCTACCACATCGCGGCGGAGGTGTTCGCCGGACTCGTCACTTTCCGGCAGATCGCGGCCGCCAACAACATCAGCGACCCGGACCGGATCTTGGTGGGCCAGGATCTGGTGATACCGCTGCCGTGCGGGTGCGATGACGTGGAGGGGCGGCGGGTTGTGCACTACGGTCACGTGGCGGCGCAGGGGAGCACGGTGCAGGAGATCGCCGCCCGCTACAACTCGTCGGCGGACACGCTGCTGAGACTCAACGCGTTGAACAGCTCACGGGACCTTGTCGCCGGGACTGTTCTTGACGTTCCGCTTACACGTACGATCATTAGCTTATTTAGTTCATCACTAATTGTTCCATAATATTGGCCGAGTTAGGAGGTGAAAAAAGCTAAAGCATATTTATAATTATTGATCTGTGACCATTGATTTTTGGGACAGCTTGTTCTTCGGTGGTCAACAATAGCTCACCGGACTACCCTTTACTCGTCCCAAACGGAACCTATCAACTCACAGCTAACAACTGCATTCTCTGCAGGTGTAATGCTGCATTAAGTTCGATGTAAGTGAAAGCCCAAATATATATATATATATATATACTATGTGTTCTTTTTTTATCCAGCTGAAGATACTCGACTTGTAACCTAAACGCAAAAAAAGGAAAATAAGGATACATGATTTAACATCTCTGTTTATTACCTATTGATCACTTTTTGCGTTCAGGTTACAATGCGAACCTTCCCAAACGAACTCGACTTGTACTGCCCCAATCCGTTGTGAGGGCTCGGGAGACTTGTTTCTTGGTAACACGACAACATCGGGTTGCAATCGCACAATGTGCACTTATGCCGGTTATAACAACCGAACAATTTTCACAAGGCTGGCTTCTGAATCAACTTGCCCCGGTACGTATAGTCCCCTGCATATTTCTACTTCGACATACAAAATGGATCTTTGTGATATTTATTCATAATGTAACTGAATTTTTGTTGGGAACAGCCTCACCTGGAATGAGCTTGCAAGGTTGGAGGTGGACTGAGCTTCTTGTCGGTGTTCAAATCATCGTGTTTTGTTTACTTTTTCTCTAATGAGATGAGTTTATAGCTGTTTATTCAACAAGTACTGGAGTTATTGATGTTGTAAGAAGCACCTTTAACACCAATTTTCTGTTCTATTCCTATTAGTCTTTGTGTGTTTTTGCCCACCTTTGTACAATAAACAGAGATGTTAAATCATGTATCCTTATTTTCCTTTCATTTTCCTGCCTGCAAATAGAAACCCAGCAATAGGCAATGTTGACTGACTTCCAATTAACATAGCATAGACTGCATAAACTTTGTTGGCTGTGCAATGCAGCACTACTGAGTACTGACCAGGTGATATATCTTTCTGATGAAAATAAATAAAATTAACAAAACATACCCAAATGGAATTGAATTTACTCTTTCACATATGGGGTAAAATGTGATGCAAAAAATAGTGAAATGCTGCCCAGTTTTCCAAAATCATGGCCCACAACAGCAAAGTAGCACAAAAGGATACAACCAAGCAATGTTCCTGCAGAATTACACAGACTGACTATATGCTGCAACAAATACATAAACCCCCATTTCTATAATTATGAACACACAAGTTCAAGTTTTAAACAATAATATCTCTCAAGTTCAGTAAAGTCAAAATCGTCTCAAAGTACTTTCCAGAGCAATAAAAGTCGGCCATCGGCAACCAGAGGTGTAAGAAGAAAGAAGAAGAACTGCCGTCACAAAAGACTAGAACAACAAAAATGCAGCCGCAGCAATTGCAAAAGCACAACCACATTAAGTCTATTTAATTGGGCTTGCATTATGACTGCCTCCCAAACCCATTTTCTGGCCCAACAGCGCAAGCTGCTCGACAAACTCACCCCCTGTGAGAATCTCGGAAGTACCGTAGATAACGTGCTTGGGAGGCTGTTGGCGATGGACAAGCTCTTGCAAGCTCCCATACTCCACATAATTTCCACCGCCAACCATGAACACAATAGCCTCTTTAAAAGGCCCTCTCATGTGGCCGCCTGAGCTTGACTTTGGCGCACGGGGATCGAAAATGAGGTACGAGTCGATTTCAGGATTAGGCTTCCCCTCCATTAGAGCATCGACTGTTCTTGTCAAAGCCAGTTGATGATCACTGGACAGTAAATTCTTCACTCCGGCAGTTACAGCACTAATTGACTGCCCGTAAAGTTTTTCAGCCCAATCGACAATATTGCTCCTGCTTGCAGAATTAGCTGATGCTAAGGACACGTTCAGTGCTTTTATCTTCTTCACATATTGGAAGGCACTGGTATCGACCTCAGATTCCCTCAGTGCAGTTTCCACAACTTCAATTTCTGAAGGCGGGATGCTCTCAGTCGAAATCAAGTACATGATGGCAAATCGTAATTTGTCCATTTTTGTCCCTTTTCCCTTAAGCACGCCAAGAAGCTCATTACGGTCGATCCCTCCTCTGATCATCATGTCGCTTTCCTTTTTGGCAAAAGAATCAAGCGATCTCTCCTTAATCTCACCCAACAGTGCAGTCGCGATGTTGGTGTGCTTGTCAATCACTTGTTTGCGCTCGGTCAATTCAGGTAGTGAATTCACCGCATTCATAAGATGTTTCGTGTTTCCAATCAAATCAGTCCCGTCAAACTCGGCCTCACCGCCACCTGTTCGCCTATTCACCTCCTCAACATCTCTCTTGTACTTGCTCAACTGCGTCTCGATTTCGACAGCAACTTCTGGAAACTCGAGCGACCCGTTTGCTGTCCAGAAAGGATCAGAGCTATCCAATTCAAATGATTTCATCCCACCTTTTTCTCCTTTCACGTTCAATCTATTCAACCGCAGGCCGAGTATATCGTGAACGAGCGGTTTGTACCTGAAGTCGTGTTGAATGGCAACAGATAGCTCGAAATTCCGATCAAATAGACACAATATTGGCCTCTGAAAAGTGCTGGTGAAGTTCCCCCCCTCGTTGAACAAATTGTTCTTCGCCAGCAAATGGTCCCGCAGTCTCTGGTCCAGCAAGGATGCCACCATCTCAGCTGGCCCTCCTCGAGGACACCTAATAATGGGCACAACTGCAAGGGTTGCCAGAACACAGAACAACCCCGCAACAATCTTTTCAATAATTTCCTCAATCTCCTTATCTCCAGCAGAAGGATCATTCAACTGAACATAACAATTCTTGTTGGCAAGAGAAAAGAAGTTATCCTCCAGGGTCACAAACTCCAAATACTGATCATGCACCTTTGCAATCCTCTGAATTGAATCAGAATTGATTGTCCCTTAACAAATACACACACAAAAAAAAAAATCCTTCAATAAGAGCAACAGCTGAAACTTACACATTGGACCTAACTCGTCAAATGAGATCACAAGCACAATTCTCAATCTTAACAACGAACATGAATAACCCACCCAAGATGTTTTCCAATCAATTTAATTCTAAAGCGATTGAAACAACAATTAGCAAAAGCTGAAAACGAGGATTTGGGTAAACAGTACCAGTGGCGAGGTCCTCGAGGAGAGGCCTGGGAATCGATGATGAGAAATTGAGGTGGAAGGAGTCGTAGAGCGCTCGGGAGGCGTCGGAGATGACGCGATGCACATTGGCCGGGGTCGGCTGGAGGAAGTAGACGGCGGGGACGTCGTGCACGGGGTTCCGATCCTTGTCGAGGAGAAAATAGAGGGTGACGCCGTGCTTGCGGAGGTCCTTGACGTGGATCAAGGGCGACAGTATGTCCTGACAGAACCTGTCGTAGATCAGGATCTTGTAGACCTCCTCGTTGGCC